TCTTGCTCCCACCTTATGCCAGCACCTAGCACCCCCTGGCACATAGTAGGCCTGCAACAAATATAGGATGGAAGCAGAAAGGAAGGAAGAGAAGAAGGAGGAAAGTAGGAAAGGAAGGAAGGAAGAAAGGGAGGGAGGGAGGAAGAAAAGAAGGTCCTTTTGTTGCCTCTTTCTTATTTGATTGAGGGACTTGGGTTTATTTTTGTCATGGCCAGGATCTGAGTCCAAAGAACTTTTTGGGTTGGCAGCCACCAGCACCATGGCTTGGACTTGCTGCCCTCCAGCAAGCAGCCCTGAGACCAGGCAGCAGAGGCAGCACAGGATCCCCCCGAAGACAGCTGCCATCACCACCTCTCTCGCTTGCACATGCAGAGGCAGGCAGCTGGGGCTGCTCTGCCAGTGACCGTGAGCAAAGGAAGCCTAGGAGAGGAAGGAGGCAGGGAATCTTTTTGACGACACAGTAACAATTAGGCAATTCATTCATGCAGCAAATATTGCTTGAGGGTCTGCTCTGAGCTCAGCTCTGTGCTAGCTGTGGGGGACACATCCTTGAGTGAGATAGACCCAGTCCCTGTCCTTGAGGCACTGGGAGTCCAGCAGGGGAGACAGATGACGAACATGCACACAGATACCTAACAGATATGTAACATGTTGTCGGTGGCAACAGGTGCCACTAAGAGAGCCCAAGCAGCTCAGGAGCCAAGGGCACAGGAGAAAGGCTTCTGTGAATCATTAGTCTGGAAGCTTCTCTGAGGCAATCACAATAGAGACTAGGATAAGATGAGGGCAGGTGCCAGGCCCGGAGCAGAGAAGAGAGTTCTCCAGGCACAGAGGGAGCAGAGGCCAGGGTCCTGGGGCAGAAACCTGGTGTGTCGGAAAGCAAGAGAGGAGGCCATGTGGCTGGGCCAGTGACTGGGGGGCAGGGTAGCTAGTCTGGAAGCTTCTCTGAGGCAATCACAATAGAGACTAGGATAAGATGAGGGCAGGTGCCAGGCCCGGAGCAGAGAGGAGAGTTCTCCAGGCACAGAGGGAGCAGAGGCCAGGGTCCTGGGGCAGAAACCTGGTGTGTCGGAAAGCAAGAGAGGAGGCCATGTGGCTGGGCCAGTGACTGGGGGGCAGGGTAGGGGGGGGTTGAGGAGACAACAGGGCCAGACCAGGTCCTGAAAGCCAAGGTACTGATTTGGCTTTGACTCTGAGTGAGAAAGGGAGCCTTGAGACAATTTCCAGCAGAAAAGTGACATTACCTGAATTATGTTTCTAAAAGTATCACAAATATTTAAAAATTAATACGAGCAGCTGACATTTATTGAGCACTTAGTATATATCAGACGTCATACATGGCACTCTGACCGCATTGTTATCTTCCTGCACCCTTACAACTGCCCTGTTGCTAAAGCAGGCCCATCACATCACCTCGTTCCAAGGGGGAGATGGAGATTCAGAGGAGAGCAGCCCTCTCAGGATGTGCCCAAAGCCACAGAGCAGGTAAGTGTGAAGCTGGGGCCTGGGCCAGCTCTGTCCTACTCCAGAGCTGTAGGATTTCCCTGGCATGGTTCCCAATTCAGCAGGCCCATCACATCACCTCGTTCCAAGGGGGAGATGGAGGTTCAGAGGAGAGCAGCCCTCTCAGGATGTGCCCAAAGCCACAGAGCAGGTAAGTGTGAAGCTGAGGCCTGGGCCAGCTCTGTCCTACTCCAGAGCTGTAGGATTTCCCTGGCATGGTTCCCAATTCTGATTCCCACCAACAAGCTGTGTAACAGGTGATTGCTGTCTGGTTCTGCCACAACAGAGGCTTCTCAACCTAGGCAAAGGAGACTCGGGGAGGACCCTGGATCCAGGAGAGCTGCAGTCAAACCAGCTGTGTGGCTTTGGGGAATCGCTGCCCTTACTGGACCCCAGCTCCACCCTCTGTAAGATGAGCAAATATATCCTCCTCCCAGAATTGCAGAGAGGACACTAAGTGCAGGATGTGGGCTGGTGGCAGGTGCAGAGCAGGTGCTAACTGTGTTATGTCAGGTATTCAACCCCAAAGCTTTGGGGGCCACGTTCTAGGGATCTGATGAAACACATGTTGGGCAGGAAGAAGGGAAGGCAACCATTAGGCCTCCACAGTGGGGCTCAGCAGCAACCAGGCTGCAGGAGAAGTGATGGAGGCCTGCAGATGTGGGGAAGCACAGGTAGGACTAACCAAAGTGCACAGCCAGTTTGTTCCTCTCCTGAGATCTCCTCCCTCGTTTCAACCAGTAAGTATGCAGCAGAAGAGACTCTGCCTCCTACAGTGCAACGTTCTGCTGCAACGTTCTCCTCCCCTTCACAGCCCAGTTCAGGATCAACCCCTACCCAGGTGGCACAAAACCTGCAGTTCCACCACTATAGAACTAGTCCATCAAAGTAGGCAGTCATCTTTTAATGGTCAAGTTCTTCTTCTATATTTAGCTCCACAGGACCTGCCAAAATCCGTAAACAGCAAATAACAACTATTTTCATTCTTTACATGATCTTCTGATCCTATTCAACGCACAAACGTGTATACAACCATATGCGTCCTCTTCTGGAATTTAATTTAACACTATTCCAAACATGCAGGAAGGGACATTGGAGATGATCTGGACCTTTTTAAAAGAGCAGTGTGGTGTAATGATTAGAAGGTGGGGTTTGGAGGTAGGCAGGCATGGATTCAAATCTCAGGTAGGCAAGCTGTGTGACCTTGGATAAACCACTTGACTTCTGCAGGCCTCAGTTTCCTCACCTGTGGAATAGGAATAACAGTGCTCCTCCCACCAGGTCACAAGGATACAAAGGGATAATGTGGGCAACACGTTAGGCAGGTGCCCTGCACAGGCTAAATTAACAGTAGCTATTGTTACTGTCACTTTAGTCCTTCTTATTGAGATTTGTAGCAGGCTCAGAAAGTTTTCCTGTTTGGGATGATATTTGAATAACCTATCTATTGCTATGTAACAAATCACCCCAAAACTTCGTAGCTTCAGTAAGCACACATTTATTACCTCCAGTTTCAGTGGGTCAGGAGTCTGGGCACAGTTTGGTTGGCTCCTCTGCTTCTGGGTCTCTCACAAGACTACAATCAGGATGATGGCCAGGGCTGAGGTCTGATCTGAACACGCCACTAAGGAAGGATTCACTTTGAAGTTCAGGTGGTTGTTAGCAGGATTCAATTCCTCAAGGGCTATTGGACTCAGGGCCTCAGTTCTTGCTGGATGTTGGCTGGAGGCCGGCCTCGGTTCTTTGCCACATGGGCCTCTCCAACATAGCTGCTTTCTTCATCAATTGTGCAAGCCCAGAAGGCAATAGAAAGAATCAGCCGGCCATACTGAAGTCACGATCTTACATAACCTAATCACAGAAGTGACATTCCATCATCTTTGCCATGTTCTGTTGGTTAGAAATAAGTCTCTAGGCCAGTCCACACTCAGGGGGAGGACATGAACGCCAGGGAGCAGGAATCTTTGGGGGTCATATTAGAGTCTGCCTGTCATAGCACGATGCATTTCCACTAGCACTTTGTGGCGCCTTCTATATACCAGGCAATATACTGGTGCTGGAAATTAAAAAGTGAATGATTTGGGGTTCCTACTTATCAGGAACTTTTCTGGGAGGTGTTTTCTGTTTCGTACTTTTACCCTTCACTACTGTGAACACTTTGTGTCCCATGAAAAATCGCTCTTAAGGGGGAAAGGAACTTACTAACTACATAGTGCGAATGCATTAACCAGATCCTTTTTCTCCATCACAGGGTGAACAGAAGAGAGAGAGAGAAAACAAAAGCTCTGAGGGGCATTTGGAGTAGGGGTCATGTGCTGGGTGATGTAGGCACCAAGGAGAATGAGACCAGACCTTGCTCTCAGGGAGCACACAGGGTAAGGGGGAACAGAAAGGTAAACTCGCAGGTTCAGCCTGCAGTGAGACATGCCACAGTGAAAGGGGAAAGGGGAAGGTAGAAGGGGGAAGGGGAGTGAAGGGAAAGAAGTGGAAAGGAAGAGAGAAATGGCAAAGGAAGGGAGAAATAGAAAAGGGAGATTCTAAGCGTTTCATCCCGCCCCTGGTTCCGCCCCCAGGCCCAGCTCCGCCCCCGGCCCGCAGGCTGCAGCGCCACCTCCGACCGCCAGGGGCCGCCC